TTAGAGTTAATGACAGAGATTTCAGTTTTGGTGTTAGAGGTTTTTGCTAGATCTTTAAGGCAGAGAATGTCAAGTAATAGTGACAATTAGAAAACACAAAACAAAATAGTTAATGGGATTGCTAATTTCTTAAGCATTCAGGTACCTGCCTTGCTACCTCCAATTAATGCCAACTACAGGGTAAGAGCCAGCAAGGATGAGCTATGCTAAATACTTGGCCTTAAAAATGAAACATACGGCATTAAATTCAATTTGCCCCTTTAATTTATAGCATATTTCCATTCTGAATCATTTTTCAATTGAAAGAATTTCAAAATGCTTCAGAAACTTAACAAATGCAGTAATCATATTATTTGATGCCGAAATGAAAATCTCTCTGAGGTGGAAAATGGGAGTTATTCAAGAGCAAACAGCATCCATTACAATCAATTATATTCTAAATAACAAAATCTCTAGTGCGTAACAAGCCATTACAGCTTCACAGGAATTCAGAATGCTGTACTAAATAAAGCAATTATAATCTGTCATCCCGTCCTCAAGATAAGCAGTACTGCCCTGGAGCTTACCTTATAGATTTCTTTGGTATAAATTAGACCCACTGAAGTATATAACCAGAAATTTTAAAATGTCATATTAATTTTACCCTATGGAATATGTAACATGTTCCTAAACTGTAACATGTTCATGTTAATTTTTATAGAATATCAATTAAAATTAATCTTCAGCAGCAATGGACTAAAACTTTATATATAATACTGTAATTGTGTCTGCAGGAATCAGTGATTGTAAAAATGCCCAAGATAAACAGTGAAAAATGAATATGGAAAAATAGAATCACATTTTTAGAGATGTTGTAAGTTATACATTATTATGAAAAATGTTTACTTTTATACCATTATGTAGTATCATAAGGGCACCAGGGCTTTTGTTTTGTTCACTTTTCCTAGAAGCGCAGATCAAATTCAGTTATAAACTGCTCTGGCCTACTGAATCGACTTGGCAGGCACTGTTGACTAATTGTAGAGATCAGGAATAAGGTGGAATTAGAAACGACTTCGAGGTACTGAGCTTAGGTAATGCTATAAAGATATGTAAGAATATGAATTTTGGGGTCAAAAGATTAAAGGTTTGGCCTTATTTATGTGAAGTAGTCACAGATCCACAAATGAAAATCTGGAGGTCATGGGAGAAAGACATTGGAATTGGAAATACAGATTCCCAGGTCATCCAAAGAAGATAATAGAAGGTGTGGCAAGTGATGAGTTTACCAAGATAAGACACTGGGGGGAATAAAAAAGCAAGAATTTCAGTTCTAGGAAACAGATGGTTGATAGGAAACCAAAGAACCTCGAAAGGAGAAAGTGAGGAGGTAGAATAATTAGCAGTGTGCAATGACACCACATCCACCGCGTGATAGTAGGGAGACCTTCGTAAAAGAGGGGTGGCATCAATAAAGAGCTGAGTAAATACATTATTATTGGAACAGCCACGCACTGGAACTCTATGTAGTTATTAAAAAGGATGAGGTCAGGACTTCCCTGGTGGCACAATGGATAAGAATCTGCCTGCTAATGCAGGGGACACGGGTTCGATCCCTGGTCCGGGAAGATCCCACATGCCGTGGAGCAACCAAGCCCACGTGCCACAACCACTGAGCCTACGCCCTACAGCCCACGAGCCACAACTACTGAGCCTGCGTGCCACAACTAGTGAAGCCCACGTGCCTAGAGCCCATGCTCGGCAACAAGAGAAGCAACCGCAATGAGAAGCCCGCACACCGCAACGAAGAGTAGCCCCTGCTTGCCGCAACTAGAGAAAGCCCACGGCAGTAACAAAGACCCAACGCAGCCAAAAATAAATAAACAAACAAATAAATAAATAAATAAAAAGGATGAGGTCAATCTGCATGTACTGACATTGAAAAATGTATACAAAAAAGACAAGTGACAAAATAGCATACATAGTATCCTGTCACTTGTATACAAAAGAGGACACATGTAATCGTTGAACTGATGAAACTGAAAATCATAATTGCCTCTGGGGAGGGTCCCGAGAGCTGGAGATCAGATGATGAGAGAGGTTTAAGTTTCACTGTACACTTTTTTGTACCACTTACAATTATTATCATGCGGATGAATTTTTTTAAAAACAAACTATTAAAAAAGATTATTGAACCGTGTCAAATACTATAGAAATGCCAAAGAGGTTATAGCCTGAGATAAAGGTCATTAGACTTGATGACTAGGAGCCTTGGGAACTTTGAGAAAGTAGATTCAGTTCGGTCATTTGATATTGAGAGAGAAAACTGTATTGTAAGTGGCTGGAGAGCACACTTCAGGAAGACAAAGAATTTATGCTGAAAGAGTTGAGGTTTGATGGAATAAATTTGGGAACTGATCAGTTGTGTGTATGTGCATATACACACACACATATATATTTAATATATACAGACATACATTTCTCTAGTTATGGGAAAGGCAATAATGGGTTTTATCTGGAACTGACAATTGGCAAGCAGGACGTGACAGAAAGACAAACTGTTGAGGAATTTGAGAGTGCTGGGAAGAGCACTCGGAAGTGAATACAGGGTGGACTTGCGGGGGGGAAATCATGAGGATTTGGGGGGAGCTAAGTATAGATGACAACATAATGGAAATAGCCTGGAGGAGGTTTTGACACCCGGAGAGGTAATTGAATAATAGGAATAATAGCCATTTAGAGGCATACGCCATCCAGCAGATTGATAGAAAATCGTATTTTAAGATTTCAGCTACAAAGGATGTAATTCTGCTTTATTATAGTCACCAAAGAGAAAGCAGTTTAAAGCCAATTTCAGAAGCTCAAGTCTTATCAAAAGAGCAAACTTGACATAGTGCCAACTTTTTTTTTTTTTTTTTTTTTTTTTTGCGGTACGCGGCCTCTCACTGTTGTGGCCTCTCCCGTTGCGGAGCACAGGCTCCGGACGCACAGGCTCAGCGGCCATGGTTCACAGGCCTAGCTGCTCTGCGGCATGTGGGATCTTCCCGGACCGGGGCACGAACCCGTGTCCCCTGCATCAGCAGGCGGACTCTCAACCACTGTGCCACCGGGGAAGCCCAGTGCCAACTTTTTGATTACAGAAAATATTTGCTGAAAAGGATGATTTCCACAAAATGAGTAACTTAAGAGATAAAATCAAGGGTAACTATAATAAAAATTCTGCATACTGTATTTGAATAAAACAATAAATGTGACTTAACTCAACCTAGAGCAGATCGGAATCACCCCATAGTGGTTATGGCATGGCACTGCAGGTGAGCTCATACGGATCCCATCAGAAAGTGTTTCCAGAAGTAGGTAAAACCGACTCTAGGATATCCACAGTATATCTGGTTGTGGTTGAACCTACACTAGAATGAAATGAAACAATATCTAGCCCTGAAGTTGCTATAACCTCTTGCTCACAGCTAAGTTCTTGATAGGCTACAAAAGCCTGGAGACATCCCTGGGCCTGATTTTATAGGATTACACTGCAAATGAACCTGCCCCCGGGGGCCCCGTAAGTCTGGTCCTTCTAGTGTTAGCAGGTCAAGTCAGATTTGGGACTAATTGAGAAACTGTGTTATGGCTTATATGTGGGAACCTGCCTTTTCAACTGGATCTAAGTAATGTTCCATGAAATAATGCAGAAAATTAAAAAAGACTCTAACCGAAATAAAAAGTCAGTACACTTTTAAAGGTATAACTTTTCAAGGTAAGTCATAGATCAAAGGTAAACAAAAGAAACCCATCAAGTGGAAATGTTTACATATTCAGAGTCTGGAGCTTAGCTTTGATTAGAGTTAGGTAGAAACAGGCAACAGGAGCAGATATTACTTAGGGCAGGATTATTCTTTGTTGGTTTAATTGAAGCCATCAGGGTAAACTAGCTAAATTATTTTAAGAACTCTAAACATTTTTCTGCTTTTGGGCAAAAAAACCTGACCCATCTGTAGACAGACTTCTCTGAACTCCAGTAAAGATATAGATTATAATTCATTTGGACTGTAAGATCAAATAAAATTAAATATGACTTAAAAATACTACCTTTCAAAATGGAAAAGTCATACATATACACAATAGAAATTTCAAAAGGATATGGTGTGAAAATTAAGCCTCATTCTCAAAAGGCAATTGCTTGTTTCTAGATTCTTGTATATCCCTATAGAAATATTCTATGCATTAGCAAAAAATATATATAATCCTTTAAAAATACAAATTGGAGCATATTAGGTCTTACATGTTCTTCCTAAACAATGTATCTTGGAGATCTTTTCCTATTATTAGACATAAAGCCACCACACTCTAACAACTACCTAATTTTCTACAGTAGGGATATACTCTCAGGTATTTAGCTGATACCCTATTTATATTTTTTTCCTAGGTGTTTCTTAATGCTGCAACAAATATCTTTTCACATGTCTTCGTGTACAGGTGCAAGTATATCCCATGGATAAATTTTAGAAATGGTACTGCTGGGTCAAAGGGTATGAATATTTAAACTTTGGGGAAAAAAAACTTTAACAGACACTGGAAAATTACCTTTTGAAAATGTTTATAATCTCACTGATAGTGTATCAGAGTGCCTGCTTCCCCACAACCTTGCCCACTCAGAGTACTATTGAATTGTTTTTACCTTGGTTAGTTTGAGAGAGAAAACTGTTTTCATTAGCATTTTTAAAAATCATGAGTACAACTGAGAAATAATACTTCTTAAACATTATAGGTTAATGATGAAACAGGGAATTTGCTAAATCATCTCTGACTTGGCTCTCTTTGGGGAGAGGGGTTCTAGAGAATTTCTTGTTAGAGGAATAAATTTATGTCGACAGGGTTCTTACATAATGTATAGCAATAAACTATTTTAACCAGAGGCACTTTCATAGATAGGTTTCATTTTTCGAAAAAGGGGAAGAAACACCATTCTGCGGCTCGATGTGGGTTTGTCAGTTATTGCCTCCCCCTTTCTTGGGACTTCCCACACTTCTTGAGCACAAGTCAGACTTGAGCAAAAACAACTTTTTCCATAGGATCAGTTATAAAAAGAATGGCAAGTGCAACGAGCAGCTTAGTTTCTTGGTCTTATCAGTGAAAAGTAGACTCACCAAAGGCTTGCGAACATTTCTGGCAAAAGCACTGGCTGGCCTGTTCATCTCTATATGGTCAATCGTGGTGTTTCTGCAGGACCAAAGGCACAGACTGGTTAGTGAAGGTAAGCAAAGGAGGCAAGAGACCCTATGGCTGTGAACTTTTTCTGTCATTTCTCTTCCTACCCTTTCTTCGTCCTTTATCATCAGAACTCAGATCCAATCTCATGACCATCTAAAATGCTTTTCTCATTTACCAGATCAGAGGTGAGTGGGCATGTAAACAAGCATTCAGTGGAGTTAGACAATAAAGAGAAATGCAGTCCAACACTCCCCTTCTCTTACCTCATGTTCACACTTTGGACATTTCTAACAATTTTTCTTTTTACTGAAAAATTTTGACTGGTCTGATCAAATATTTGTTGTGTAATTTATTCAGTCCCCGTTCACTAACTGCTACACAGGTTTAGCATCTGCGTTTTTTAAAGAAGGCCTAAAAACCTAGGCAGAATTTTGCAGGGACAGCACCACTCAAATTCGGTCACAGTGATGTAGTTTTAGAGATGAATACAATCACAATATATTCCAACTGGATTTAACTCTCAATTATTCATTGGGCGAGCTTGTGATAAGTGTTTTTCACTGTGGCAGGACATACTCAAAGTAAATGTGATCTACAGTGATGATGCTTTTCAAATTGCCATCTGGGTGATTTGGGGAAAGTCTCCCTGTTGGTACTAAAGACAGTACACGCACAGGTGGGCTTTTGTTTGAATTATTTTTAGACCTGCTCAACCATTCTTTTTTGTGTGTGTGCACATCTATTTGTACTTAAATATAAACCTGGTTTGGCCAGAATATTCATATTGATATTTGTAGACCATTTCTTGCATAGGTCAGTGTAAGAAGATCGTGTTTCTGAATTTGAGAAGCTTCTTGGAGGAGTGCAGAGTATTTGAAATTTGTGTAAAACATTCATATTATAATGGTAATTTGGGGGATACACAAACATGCACTAATTTTATTATCTCAGAGCAAAGTGATGTTTTCAATAGTTATTTCAAGTTACTGAAACATTTCCAAACACAGACCTAATGATTATCTTAGATATATAAGATATTGTCCCTCTGAACTCTTCATAAACGTGATAGAATGTAAATTTGCCTTCATTAACTAACTATAGTTACTTTCCCTCCAATTTGTGTTTTACAAAGTTTCAAACCTATATAAAAATGGAAAGAAGAGTATCCGTACAATGCACACACGTTTTTACTATGTAGATTAATCAGTTGTAGCATTTTGCCACATTTATTTTTTCTCTTGCTATGTCTCTCTCTCTGTATATGTATGTAAACACACATACACACAGGTGTTTTCTTTTTTTCCCCTAAACTGTTTGAAAGTATATTGTTGACTTTAGGATACACCACCTTGAAATTCTTGACCCTGTATCTCCGAAGAAAAAGAGCAGTCTTCTACGTGATTATAATGCTAAGGAAATTTAACATTAATACAATACTATTATCTAATCTATGACCCATATTCAAATTTCTCCAATTATCTATATGTCCTTTAGAGAGTTTTTATTTTTTAAATTTAGGATCCAATCAAGTATCTTGCATTGCCTTTGTCTGATATGCCCACAATTAAGTAAATGTTAATGGTGATAGCCATAATTAACAACATAATTAACAATGATTAAGAATTATACCACCAAGGAAATTTAACATCAATCAACTCTATCATGATCATTTTTCTTAGTTTTTTAGTCCTCTCATTTTATGTCAAAATACTTTAAAAGTATTTCAAAAAAGTGATCATAAGCTTTAATTTTTCTGTTTGTAAGACATAAAGACAGAATATGAAGAAAAATCCAAACTATGATAAAAAATATATTTACTAATATGTCTGCACCAAAATTTACATTTTCTGAAATAAGGAAATTCATATCCAGATAAAGCCCTTGGAAGTAGCTGCTACCTTTAGTCATAAGGATCTAAGTAGAATTGAACAGAAAATTATTTACTTGTTGATGTTAATATGGAAAACGGAGGCCTTTTGACTTACGATCATATTATATTAGTCATCAAATTAGACTTTCAGGAGTTAACTCATTAAGTAAGAATCACTTCATATTTGACAGAAGAATCGGTAATCCCAAATTACATGTTTTGTAACAGGAACTGAAATACAAAGTAAGTGATACTTTAGAGCATCTATCAACAAATACCACAAAATATGAAATAACAGGGATATAATCCAAGGTATATGATTAAGTGAATGGTTATTTCCATTTCTAAAGAACACGTACTTTCAAAGGTAAGGGTCAGGAAAATGCAGATGCTTTTTCATATAGCGAGATCCTTCCTAAAGAAACCCTTTGTTTTGGGTAAAGTTCTTGTATTGTTCGCCAAAAGAAAAAAAACCCCAATGTAATATGGATTTGGTTACAGTATCATAACTAGATTATGAGCAAAGTAATATTCAAGTTTTTCAATGACAACCCTTCAGTGGTTTATTTGCAAGTCCCCCAAATCAAGAAGATCTTTAAAAATCATAGATTGGAATTAAAGGATCTAGAATTTAGATTATAGGGGAAATAAAGAGATGAAGAGATGAAATAGAGTATTTTGAGGATGGGGTGGTATTAAAAATAACATTTCTGGTATATCACCTACATATAATCTTAACAAGATAGTTTTCTTCACCCTCAGATTTGAGGCAAAAATAAATGTGCTCATCTGATTGGAAAATGAAAAACAAATAGCGTGTTGAAGAATATCAGTGGAAGCAGTTAATCTCAGACATTGGTGGTGAGAAAATAAATTGGCCCAAACTACTTGAAAGGCAATTTGCAATAGATGGGATCTAGTAATTTGGCTTCTCCAAATCTGGCCTGAGGAAACATTCCTGCAGGCATATGCAGTGACTGCACACAGTAAAAAAGCAAGAAAAAACCTCAATGTCTACTATGAGAAATTATTTGCTAACATGAGATGTGTCTGTAGATGTACTATTTTCTGTTAAAAGGCAGATCTATATGAGCAGGCATGCTGACAGGTGGGAACCAAGCTGCACCCCAACTAGCTAGACTATAGATTGTCTATGAAATAGCAAATAACGTTTTCCTCTCCTTATTTCTGTGAGGTTACATCCCATGATGCTCTGAGGCAGCCCCATCCCACTGTCTCCATTTTTTGTGCCACGGTAGAGGTCTTCTCTGCACTGTCTCAACCAGCTTCGCAGAAGTCTTGCTTTGCATGCCTGCGAACTGTCTTTCCAGAGATAGGATCTGTTTTGCCACCTTATCACCCCCAACGCACACCGGCCCACCCACCGCCCTTCCTGCCAATCCTCATTCTTCTGCTTTTCTTTTGCTATTGCCAGTTACTCCTTGATTCAAAGGACTGTCGCAATGAGTTACTTCACTGTATAAGGTAGCAACTGGAATTTGCTAAGGTTCTATGCAATCCTGATAAATATATTGGGGTAGGGGAGAGAAGAATTTAGCATTTCTAATTTAGGGACCAGGATTCTGAATGGATGGCCAGGGGCTCTGAAAGGTTGAGATATGAGACTTGAAGGGTGGTGGTGGAATGGGGGATGGATAAGGAACCAGGGCTCTCAGGATAGAAGAAGAAAGGGACAAATGCCTGGGATGGGCATGGGATTTGGGAGAACAGGGAGGAGTTCAGCATGGCTGGCGTCCTGGGTCTTGTGGGAACAGGCAGAGGTAAGATGAAGAAGGCAGGTAAGAGGGAGGGAGACGCAAGAGGGAAGAGATATGGGAACATATGTATATGTATAACTGATTCACTTTGTTATAAAGCAGAAACTTACACACCATTGTAAAGCAATTATACTCCAATAAAGATGTAAAAATTAAATAAATAAATAAAATAATTTGGACCAAAAAAAAAAAAAAAACAGGTACCATGAGGGCCTAACGTGTGTGGACTTTATCCTGGAGGTAATGGGGAGCTGCTGATATTTAAACAGGGCATCTGTAATACTAAATTACTTTGCGGTTGAAAAATTAAGGGCAAGATGACGCCAGGCTATAGCGGTGGGAATGGTTAAGGAAACTGTTCATATGGTTAGATTAAGAGAGCAGAGGATAAATTATTTGTATATCTCAAAGACATATGAACATTGATACACAATTGGGACATGTGTGTAGCCCTGTGCGGTGGGCACTGGCTGTCTTCTTGGAGCTTTTCTTTCTGTACTTCACTGCACCTTCCTTCCTTTATTGGGCAAGGGTTGTTATTAAAATGGAGTCAGGGCGGGTACCCTTTTCCTGGAAGGACTAATTGCTTGTCGTGATTGTGTGATATTAACTGCTCTCAACTAGGCAGTAGGTGTGATATGTTTAAGAACAGATCACACACTTTGGGGTTAGTAAATTGACTTGAATCTTCCCTCCACTACTTATTTGCTTTGTGACCTTGGGAAGGTCATTTGTCCTATCTTAATCTCAGTTTTCTCATTTGGAAAACCCGGATTATGATAATATCTAACAATGCACTGTTGTTGGAAGATTAGGGGTAATGTCTGGAAAGCACCCAACACAATTGCTTTTATTATTGTGCCCTATCTCAATTACTGCATCTGCTTTTTGACTTAGGTCAAGGATAGGCAAGCCATAGCCTATAGGTCAAACTGGCCCTTTGCCTGTTTTTGTAAATAAAGTTTTTTTGTAAATAAAGTTTTATTGGAACACAGCCACACCCATTTGTTTACATATTGTCTGTGGCTGCTTTCCTGCTATGATGGCAGAGTTGAGTAGTTGTGATAGAAACCTAAAATATTAAATATTTGGCCATTTATAGAGAAAGTTTGCTGATCCCTAAGTTAGGTTTTTCCAAACAGCCCCTCTTATAAATTTTTTCCCTCTTTAGTTTTTCTCTTTGAACCCATGCTTGTGTTGTTTCAGTGTAAATTAAAAGTATGTCTATATTGGTAGTCTCCAGCCTCGTCAACCACTCGTTTTCTCCCAGACTACTGACACAACACAACTCCAGTGGTGACTGTCAGCTGGCCATGAAGTCTACACACTTAGAGGGGCTCTACCAGGAATGATCAGCTGAACGGAACCAAAGCTTTTTTTCAAGCACCTCTGGAA